AAAAAAAAATATCAAAAGGAAAAAGGGTAAGGCAGGTTGGGAAGACTAGCTCCTACATGTTTAAAAACTAGTCATAATTCTCAATATTTTTCTGAGATCCTTACATATATCAATTGATCCAGTTCTCACCAAGGAAACTGAGGCACACAGAAACTAAGTTGTCAAGGTCTTGAATATAAGCAGGCCTCCAAGATGTGGACAATTAGAGCTCCAGAATGCATGCTGTTAATCACTTATCTGTCATGTCTCTCAATAAGTATTTTTAGAATTGTCTTTTTGCCTTGAAACTGTAGACTATCACCATGAGAAAAGTCACAGGCAGGAAGGGTCATGCAGCTTTCCCTTAAGAGAGCTTGTTTTTGGCAGTGAAACTTCAGAAGGCATTCCCTCTGATTTGGAAAACCAGGTGTTTCCATCCCATATAATTTCTCTCTCATCTTTTTAGATGTTCTTTCTGTGTAGCAGCCCACGCTTGCCTTGTCATCAGTGCCAGAGCAGCTCCATTGGTGGACTACAAGTCTGAACATGCTTGGAGAACTTCCAGTTTTAGTGTTTCAGCCACCGAAGTCCTCCTACAGTCTGACAACTCAAGTCCATTCACATGGAGAAAGCAGGCTTTTTAGCATGGCTTTTTAGTAGTTCTTCATGTTCATTCATTCAAAAAATATTTATTGAGCCCATGCCCTGTGCCAGTTGGCCTACCACCAAGCCATATGCTAGGTGTTGGAGACCCAGCTGTGAACATAGTAAAAGCCCTATCTTCATGAACGTGACATTCTGGAGAGGAGAGATAGGCTATAAATGAATTTTTTTTAAAAAAAGAATCTATGCTGTGTCAGAGAGGTAAAGGCTAAGGAGATACATCTAGTAAGGGAAAGGGCACAAGGGGAGCTTGCTACTGTACATGACTCAGATAGGAAAGGCTTCACTGATGAGTGACATTTGAGCAGAGACCCAAAAAAGGAAGGGGTGATCCAAAACCTGCAAAGGGAACATTCCAGGGTGAGGGAGATGCAAGCATAGAGGTATTGCGGCACAGGCAGGCCTGACATGCAAGAAGCACCCAGGCCAGTATGACTTGAGACAAGTGAGTGAGAGAAAGAACCCTAGGAGTCAGCACTGGAAAAGTGGTAGTGAATGCAGAGAGAGTTAGAATGGACTCTGGTTCTTCTTCCGAGTGAGCTAAGAAGCCAGACAGAGGAATAATATGAGCTAGCTTGTTTTGGAGGATCCTGTGGCTTCTGAGACAGCTCTTTAGGTGTCTCATGAAAACTGTTGAAGCCTTGTAGTCTTAGGAATACTCACCACCAGAGTACACTGGTTTAAAAAAAAAAGGAACTTTAACTTTGAGGAAACTTGTCTTTGTAAACTGAAGGAATTCTTCATGAGCATTGGTCCTGTGCCAGGAATGCTAGAAGACGTGGTAAAGGACCCACTCTCATTCCCTACAGAAATTTTCATACACATAGACAGGACCAGAAAGATACCATGGAGCACACTCAGTGGAACATGGAGCTGGGACCATATGTCAGGCATGCCAGGGCTTCAGGAAGGTTATACTGATTAAATGCTAGCCAGGCAGAAGAAGAAGAAAAAAGTAATCTGTTTGGGTACAAAGTTGAACAAACTAGCTCCCATAGACTCCTTTCATAGGATCCAGTCTGGGGCATGAGCCCCACCTCCAGCTGTAGCACAGGAGCATCTGAAGAAAGCTGTCTTAAGGTCAGGTGGTCCAAATCTGGGCACTATCTGTGGTACTGGCTGGCAGAGAGGGAACAGAAAGGGTAGGCTCAAACCCTTCCACAGTCCTCACACTGGAAATTCAACTTTTCTTCTCTGTTGATACCAGGATTTAACCTGTTTGAAGAATATTATTATTCTGTCCCAGTTTCTCCTTGTTCTTGTCAAGATCTGTGTTGCTTAAAAACAAATTTTAAGGGCCGGCGAGATAGCTCAGCGGACTAAGCACCTGCTGAGGCAAACACAGGAACCAGAGTTTGATACCGGCACCACATGCTGCACCGGTCACCAAGTCCAGGTATGGTTGTGCGCACCTGTATTCCCAGCACTGGGGAGGCAGAAAACAGGAGAGGAGGATCAGTATGAGACCAATCTGCATAGTGAGACCCTATACCAAATACAGAAAAAAACATTTTTTTTTGGGTAGGTTCTTTCATCTTTATCACTCTGTATGAAAAGTAAATATAATTGAAGTGAACCAAAGTAAGAGGCATGTCTTCAATCCAGAGAATAAAATGTGCCCCGGGTGACAATTCTGTGGAGCAGATTGCTTTTATGCAGTGCCCAAATTCCACACCTGAGCTTGGGGGCTTGATACAAAGCTACTGCCTCTGATTCCACTTCATGATCTGAATTTGTTACCAGTTTTTCCACCATCGATGTAGGTTCCTAAGTGTCAGAGCTCATACAGGATAAGGATATGTAGACACTTGGGATGAAGACTTGGCAGATATTTTGGGAAATCCCGAGGAAGCTCAAGAAGCTGCCATGGTTTCTTTCCTGGCAGGTTGAGTGAGCTGAGCTCATAATAATTATTGGTTACACTGCTTTTGCTATTAAAGTTTCTTAGTTCACAGATGGTCTAAGTTAGCAGACAGACCAAATTTTAACAAAGGAAGCTGTAGGAAAAGGGATAAAGATACAGTTGGAAATTGAAGCCATGCTTCATGTGCGTGTGTGTGTGTGTGTGTGTGTGTGTGTGTGTGTGTAGGGTCTTATTATACAGCTCAGACTTGTAGTGATCTCCTGTTTTCAGCTTCCCTGGTGCTGGGATTACAGGCATGTGCTACCACGCCCAGACTCCATTGCCGGCTCAGTGCATCCAGGGGGTAGGGCTGGCGCATCATGCAGTGCCAGGAATCGAACCCTAGCCTCTACACTTACCTAAGTAAGCGCTTAGTCCACTGAGTTATCTCGCCAGCCCTGCATTGCTTCTTTGATACATGGCTCAACTTTGCTGCTTTCTTTCCTGGAACTTTCCAGTGTCGTTTTTGGGAAATTTTATTACTATATTATCTTCATTTTTATAATTCTGATTATTCTTGATGTATACCAGCTTTTTTTTTTTTTTTTTTTTTTGCGGAACTGGGGATTGAACTCAGGCCCTTGCGCTTGCCAGGGAAGCGCTTATTCTACTGATCCATCTCCCCAGCCCTATACCAGCTTTTTAGGGAGTGTTTTTTCCTTATTTCTGTTGGTTCCTATAAAATGTTAAATTCCTTAAACTTTGCAACATTTCCAAAGCAGCTATTACTCTTCTTCTGAGTAGCTTTCCAAAATGGATATGATTTACATGATTCAGCCAGCAAACAGAAAGCCTTCCATTGTATCATTTCTAGAATAGGTACAGTGACCCTCGGGGCAGGTGTCATAAAGATCAAACAGAATAAGTTACTGCCCCCTGGGAGGACTTACAAGTAGAGAATAGAAATATCACACCAAAAAAAGAGAGAAAGAAACATTACACCAATTCATAAATTAGTAAAAACCTTACATCATCTGCCTATCATTCACCAAGGCTTTTAGGGATGGAAGGCAATATTGAATCTGTCCTTGGGGTTGGCAGTGAGAGACTAGCTCTGGAGGGACTTGTTCAGACTATGTAGAGGGAGAAGAGCAGCCTCACATCCTCCCTGTGCCTAGTGTGAGACTAAGGACCTGCAGCAGACTGGACATGTGTGTTTGATCTAACCATAAAGAGGCTCTTTTGACCTCTGTATGGTGTCTACAAAATCATATTAAAATCCTGATGCCCTAAAAGCATTTTTCATGACCATTCTGTTTCCTAGGCTTTGGTCCTGTCCTGGTAGCACAGGAGTTTAAGGAAGGGTTATGAACCTCTTCTATTCTCAGTTCTCTTCCTGATTATCTTGGTAGCTTATTGCACCTGGACTTGGTATAATGTAGTACATGTCACTGACAGCCTATCTCTGTATCTTCAAGGCAACACAGGGGTTTAAGATTAGGCCTTGAAGGGAAAGTCATTTTCTAGTCAGGATGCTTCAGTCTGGGTATCCTGATTGTGGCACTAATACCTGACAGTCGGTGTTGGCCTTCCACTGAGAGCTGGGGAAACTGTCCCTTTTAGCATAGTGAGGCTAAACAGAAGAGGCAAAAGCAGATGCCAACAGGCTTCTAGAGCAGGAAGTCTTATTCTGCCAAAGTAGAAGCATGAGCGCCAAGCTAAACTCAAGGGAACAGGCAAAAGCTTGGGTGCCTCCGCTCATGACATGACTGAATGAGCTAAACTTTCTGGGTCAAGAAAGACTCCAACCTAGCTCCAACTTGTTTCACTGACTTCAGCTCTTACCTGTAAACACTAAGCCTGAAAGTCAAGGTAGCTATTATATTGTTGCCTGTTTGGAGGTTACCCAAGGAATTCCTCTTAAGGCTGAATTGCTTTTACTGTTAATGCCAAAGGCATAGAAGCCAATGCCGGCCTCAGAGTCAGGGTCTCAGGTCAACAGCAGATGCAGCTTACTGGGTCTTAGGAAAAACAGCTCCTGATGAGTTAAACTTGTCTGGGATTTCTCTCCCTTTGCAAGCTGCAAGTTTGTCTAATAGATGGACAACTTGATTAAATGCCAGCGTATCGCAGATGCAATTATATTTAAAAACAAACTTTTTCTTCTAATCTCTCTGCCATCACTGATTAATTAGATAACTTTGAACTATGCCCAACTGTTTGAAAGCTGTGAAAAATACAACCTGCATAGTTAAAATTTCTCTATGAGTTTATTTCCTCATTTGTGCCTGTATTCATCAGTCTTTGAACATAATATGTATTTATACATGTTTCCAAATACACAGTCTGGTTATTTTCCTATCATGGTTAGAAATCCCTATACTGCTGGCCAAAAAAAAAAAATACATGCACACAGAAAATTCAATAACAAAACCAAAAAGAAAAAAGAGAGAAAAGAAAATCCAGTAACAAGAGTATCTGAGACATCCATTGAATAATTCAGATGTACCTTTAGGTTACTGCTGCCATCAGTTTTATTTGCAAAAGTTTTTCTTGCTGGATGTGGTGGTGCACACCTGTAATCCCAGCACTCAGGAGGCTGAGGTAGGAAGGTTTTTATGTGTTGGAGGCTAGCCTAAACTACAAAACAAGACCTTGTCTCAAAAAATAAATAAATAAGGTTTTGTGTTTTTCTGTTTAAATCTTGCATGAGTGACTCAGAAAAACTTTTGTTATTGTTAATATATCTCATTATTGAGATTTCAAAATGTATTTGTGCCTAGCAAGAGCTGGGTAGTGATAGGGTACAGGATATTTAAACATGTATTTTATAATATATAATTATTAGCTGTATATTTGACCCCATATTTTGCAAGGAATTTTTAGTCTTTGTTTTTTGTTGTAACTCTTTGAAAGTAACTGAACACAAAAGACCCATCTCATGGCTGACACTGACAAAGGTACTACAATCTGAGGTACAGGATCTCAGGATAAATCCTGAGGGGATTTCACTGACCTTATCAGATCCAAAAGCTACAATTCTTGTTGCATAGGTCCTGCTTTACCTTGGTCTTAACCACCCAGCAGAAAAGTATAAAAACGAAGTATAAGAAGTAAAGCATTGCTGTTATGTTGAGCTGTAGGGGACTCAGGTCAACAATTTCTGACATTGCCAGTGAAGCGTAAGACCCAATACTATTATGGGCTACTGTACTCTTTTAGAATATTTTGTTGAGTTAACATACCTATAATATTCAAATAACGGAACTTAACAAAAAAAGGGGATACAGATGAATGTCTATTTTGTATCTGTGTATTCAAAGTGGTTAGGATAGATAT